CGGAATAGGCCAATCAAAGTTGCTTGAATAGAATCGTACTATTGGTGCAACAGATCCGTAAACAAACGCGACGCACGATCTACGCGTCATGCACACGTGGACGTCCATCCCTTCCTGCTTGACGCGAGAACGCGATCAAAAGCGCGGCGGCAACAACATGCGGGTGGGAATTCTTCTTTCGGGTTGTGATGTTTTATTACTTACTCGCTACATCAGGCGAGGATAGCAATCTCTCACAGGAACTTTTCTCTTTATTCGCTTCTCTCCCGACTAATCGCGTCGGGAGATCCGTTGCGGCAAAGAAAGGATGTCCTTCGCAGAGGACACTGATAGGTTGAGAATAATCGACGCGATTGGCTGATTCTCCCTTTTTTCTCACGATTGAAAGCGCGACGCGTCGATAGGGGTGCGAGTCGGTGGAGATACGCGTTGGTCGTCCTCGTAGGGTTGTTTGAAGCGACAATTTTCGCGGCATCGTACTCGACGCGGGATTACTCCTCCCTACGTACGCATGATCACCAATCCCCTCTGCATTTCTCAGCGAATCTTCGCAATGCTTTCTACGAGCTTGCGAACGGAGTCGATGGAAATGGAAATTGACTACGATCAACCGTCGCTTCCCGCGTCGCTCGGTCGACTGACTAGTTTGACTGGACTGCCTCCCCGTACACTCGGAGATTTTATTCCATCCCCACCAGAATCTACCGGCGCCCCCCTTACCGACAAACCCCCACTCGTGACACCCACTCACGATCCGACGTAGGTGCTCGGGGGTGCGTGAACGTTGAGATGGACGCAAGTCTAGTCGTTGACCATGTAATTGATAGTTGACCGTATCATCCAAAGATCAATTAAAGGTCTGTTCCTCATGACAAAAATAATTGTCTAAAAAGAGCAATGTTAGCTTAACGTTATTAACGTGTTATTGACAGCCGATCCTGTCACCTGGATAATTACAGAGTTTTTTGTTAAAGTACAATTATTTTACGGTGGAATGATTTTGCCTTAAATTCATAATCATGTTGTAATTTCAGGGTCATATATAATATACCCCTGAAATTAAAATAAGATTGACTAAAATTAAATTATTCGCATTCATATTTGATTACTTTTATCCTTATCGAAATAATTATTATGTCTGTACGTATGATTTAAATAATTATAACTCTTTTAAAACAATTACTTCAGAAGTTAATAGAGAAAAAAAATTGAACGTTTCAACTACTGCCCGTGTAGTGAAAAGTTTTAAACTTTAAACCCCTCAATTACTTGGACCAACTCTTTTATGTAACTAATAACTATATCCAATTTAAGCACCCAAAGTACTTACAGGAAGATTCTGCCTATAGAGATATGAGAGGAGACTTACGTCTTGAACTTTGTTAAAGGCTCAGAGTCTTCTCAGAATGTGCCAACATTCGAGAAGTTTCACCTTTACTGTATAAAGTTCCAAATTTTATATCACTTTTAGTAAAACATTTTGTTTTTTTAATTTATTTATTATAATAAATAATTATCTTTGATTACTCACTCCTGTCTCATAAATTGTTCCACGGACAGAACAAAGATATTGTTGCGGTGGATTTAATATTGCTGAACTCAAACTGGAATCGAAACGTACGTATGTAATGTAAATTATTGTTCAAATTAATTTCGCAATATAACAATCTGCTTGACTCCTATAACTTTATACAGATACACATATTATATTATTTTCTTATTGGATTATCTTTGATTTTGTTTTATTAAAACGTTAATATACAACAATTAAATTATATTTTAATAATTTATTTACTTTCTTAATTATGATTCTCTTAATTCTAATGTATTTCTGTGAAGTTCGAAATACCCCATTTTTAGGTATGACAGAAATTTATTCCGCAGTTCTGAAAATAATGTGTTAAATTTGCAAAGATGTATGGATTGAATTCTTCACATACGGCCAACTAACACATCGCGCGAAAAATTTTTCTTATCTGCGGACAAACCAGTTTACAAGTTTATGTTCAAGGTTACGAGGCAAAATAGCGGCGTGACTTACGTCACGAACATCGATTCGCGGACGTTCATTGACCCACCTAATTCTAGGCGATCGTGAGCGTATTATCGTTGCTTTCATGAGCCAGACGGTCGCTAATCCTCCTACTCAATCGAAAGACCTTGCTCACAACATCTTGCATAAATCCTTCGTGGTGGTTATCGTTATATCTAAAAAGCGTCTAATTATCGTCTTGGCGATCTTTTCTTGAACGTTGAAACTTCGATATGATTGTTCGGACACGGTCGACCATTTATAATCCCTTCCCGCCTAAGTCATTTCTCCTTCTCGAATATACAATTTATCGATCGTCGTTTCAGACGGTTAAAAACTCGAAATATTAGGGAGAATCGGGGAGTAGTCGTACACCTGTTTTATTGTACCGCGTAGATTTCCCGACGCAACATTCTCTTTCTGTTGTCGCTAATTAAAAAGTTCCGCTAGTTGCGCTAACGATTTGTTCTGTTCCAATCAAACTCAACATGGGAATGTTTCATTCACGCATACGTTGCAGGTCAGCATAGCTGTCCACGTTCTCATTTTGCAATTGCAATAATGACGGCCATTATAATAGTTATAGTTATTAGTAATACTTTGACTAACAGTAGAGTATACGTAATTTTCGTAACTGTTTGAAAACCGAAGTTTCCAATGAAAACAGTAAATAGTAAACTTTCGCTGAATTATAAAATGTGCTCTTGCATAGAAATTATTGGAAATTTTTTTTTTAATCGCTTGTTACTGGCATTTTGAGCAAATTGTAAATTGTGAATTGAAAACATGTACGTTGATGTATCGTTTTCAATTATTTTAAAGTTGCCTGCTGTTACTAATGATTATTGAGAATATCTAATAGATTATTTATTGATGATGAAATGGGGAGGGGGGTACAAAATACAAACGACTGTACAAGCGATAAAAAATCATTTGAAGTAAATTATTAATCTTAATGAAAATTACAAGAATAACTTATTCATCGATATAATTATATCGAGCTCTAGCTGTAGATTTTATGAAAATCCTTCGACTGCATGCATTATAAATCCCTTCCTACGTACATATATCTACATGTAACATTGCCCTAGTTTCGATTTAATTATGTAACAACGTAATAAATTCCTGAACGCGTCGTAAACGTAAACAACGTAGAACAGCCAGGATAGAAGACGATTAATGCAGATATTATTAATATCGTGATCCGTATTACGATAATATTACACACATGTAATATTACATGCCCTTTTCACAATAATTAACTTCCAATTGCAACAGCTTGATAAATTCAATGTCAACGGGCTGTACCGCTCGAAATATTCTTGAATATTTGAGCTTACATAATTTGTAGTCATATATTAACGAGTCAATAAAAGCGTGACACGACAAACTGTTGACACGTAGAATTAATCCATAAATGACACACGGCGCTGCAAACTGCGTCGCCACACTCTCTCTTTCTCATCGATCACAGTTGCTTATACAGGTGTAGCTTGTACATAAGCTCATACAGATGCAGCGTATTATTGCCAATTTATCAAGTGCTACTCCTCCTTCGTATTGAACAGTAAACAGATTTAATCTTAGCCGGAAACGGCGAATACACATGAATACACCACATATGGCTATTAACCAGATAAAACAGATCGAATTTTAATTTGATTGAGAAATTTGTTTCGCAATTTATTCCTGTCCTTTATATGTATGCCTGTCATGTAACGAGAATATTTCATCCGGACGATTTGGCGAAATCAGGAGATAATAAATTCAAGACAATGACATATATAACAAAAAGTCTGATACACTCACAATGCGTAAAAATAATCAAAAGTTAAAAATTTTGTTTAAATAATTAAAAGTAACCAGTTACAAAGTTATATTACGGTTATCCTTGAAAATCGGTTTAGTTTTACAGCAAGGAAAATTGATCTTGTATCGATCATATTACCAATTATTAAATATCTCAAACATACGTAACTCGTGTCGTTTTCTCGGCGATACCAACCTCACAAATCAGTCATCAGTTTTAATAAACTTCGCCTCCGGAGATGTCGGCACGCGATTGCTCGTGTAACAGGCGATATTTCATGATGGTCGGATTACAGGTAGCGAAATCGCACAGGGATTAATAGACCGTAGACGAAGAGACTCTTCGTCTACGCGTACACTGATCGTCGAAGATCATCGACCATCGGTCGGGCTCGAGAGATCGAATCTCAATTCGGTAGAAATGAAATTCCTTGCGGCTTACCTCCACTTCATGCGGCGTCCAGCTCCATAAAATACCGCGTAGCCTCTTGCTGTGAATTCGCGAGATACCGGATATCTTATGCATTTCCAATAACGCATCGCACTCTCCATTGATGTGCATTGCCGTGCATTTTTCGCGCAGCCAATAATATATATTTTTTTTCTTTTGCTTCCCGCCTTCGGTAACTGGAGACTCTCGTCTTCAAATCCGAAACACGAGTCGTCGAATTGCTGTCGAAGAATTGCATAAAAAATGCACTAATATCAACATTATGTTGTAATATGCGAAGAAATAGAAACTGATTCTGATTCTATAGTATGTTTGTCTTAATTTGTCAAATCTGTTTTATTTCATTATTGGTATACATAAAAAAATATTATAAATATGTATAAAAAATGTGATATCGTGTTTATGTTAATATAATAATTTACTTAATATCATCTATTTATATTTCTCAAGTTTAATTCTCTCTCGTCAAAACATTTTACTAATAATCTCTGAAATTTATATAAAGTTAGAAATATTGTTTTTCACTCGTTTGTCATCATTTTTTGTTTCTTAATATTACGATTAAAAGGGAAGATTATGAATCTCCGACATTCAATCAGTGACTTACTTGACAAATTGAAATTTTCAGAACTTGTTCAATAAAAATTATATTGTACATTTCGCTCGTCTTCTATTATTTACACACATCTAAATAAATAATAGGCCATTCTACTTCCTTCTGTAGGCAGTCGGATAATCCGTGAGGAAGCTGCCGGTGGAAAGTATAGCCCCCGGTCCGCCGAGAATGCCACCTTTGTTGGCGAACAAGCCGTTACCGCCCAGAAAACCGGCCGGTTCCAGCCGGTCCGTATAGAAACCAGAATCATTAGGACCCAAGAAATGAAACAGGCTGGCTCCATTTAGCTGCTTCGCCGTCACATTTTGCAGCACGTTGATTCCTAGACTGTTTAGCACATCTTTCAGTTGCAGGAAACGGTCGCTCAGAAACGATTGTGGCGAGAACTGAATCTTCTGCACCAGCGGTGTCAGAAACCAAGAGAACGGACCCGGTTTTATCGTTGAGTTTCCCTGAAATTTCGCCAAACAGATTGGTTTCACGTCAGTGTTTTTGAATGCATTCTTATGACGTTTTATGATATAAAGAGAAACTATAAAAATGATATAGGTAATCCTTCTTATTTAAAAATTAAAAATTGAATTGGAAACATGCTCTCAATAATATAAAAATTTATGCAGCGAATACAATATTCATATATCTAATATGTGAATTTTTTAGAAAACAGATATAAAATTTGTCGATATTGTTATTAATTTAATTTATAACTTATTTATTTATTTAACTGACAATATGGTATGCTAATATTATATGGTATGCTACGGAACATACTAATGCTGTAACCCAAACCATAGAGTTCTAATTATAGTAAGTCATAATATCTATAAGACGTTATCATGACATCATTTAATTGTTACTTAAAAATGAATTTATAATGCAAAATAAAATCATGATGATGTCTTTATCATGTTATTGTGACTTTTACTTTGAAATTATATATATCTCAAATATTGAATACGTTAATTGACAAATTGTGAATTTAATTAATTATTTAATAAGTTAAAATTACAATTAGTGAATTTCTACAGAATTTGTGAGTTATCTAATTACTGAAGTAAACTGATGGCACATAATATATATTAAAATTGTAATTAATTAGTGGAATGGAATGATCTCATTGTTTATAAAGATACACTTACTGACTGTATGATTGTATCAAATATGGTACCAACTGCCGACTTCGTAGCATCAGTTTGAGTGGTGTCCTGTATTGATGCCTCGTTAGTCGGCAAAGCAGAATTCTGTTGTTTATTTAATCCAAATGGATTTTTTTGCAGATTTGTGTTATCATTCTCGATTTCATTGATAGATTCGTCGATTGATGGGTCTAATGGTTTTGCCTGCGCTATTGCAACCTGTAAAAATTGTTATTTACTTCTATCTTATTACGCGATAATATATATTTCTGAAAAGTTAGCTAATTATAAAATTTATGTCTAATATAATATGTCTGCATATATTTCACATTAAATCATTAATGTCAAGTGAGACCTCAGTAAGTTCAAAAAGCAGCTTTTTAAATATGATAAAATTATAGAGATACATTAAAGAGTTATTTTAGATAGCATAAAAATATAAAAAAATTATTTTACAATTCACAAATATATTTAATTTTTATATTTGGTTTAAATTGGAATTAATTATATATAATAATAAATTTGAAAAGATAAATTTATTTTACCTTATATACATTTGAAACTTTATTTTGATAAACAATTTATTAATTTGGATAAGAAGGATTACATTAAAGTTTGATGTATTACCAAGTTTAGAGGCGAATTTCTTGAGTTAACAACTTACCGCCGCAAATAACAGCCACATAAATCTTGTCGCTTTTGCCATCATTAGATAGAATATTGTAGTAAGGAAGCTCTGACAGCGTTCTACGTAACTTATTCCCGTGATATAGAGTATACCGGTTAGAACTCACAAGGAACACATCGTATGTATACTTAACGCTGTTTATATATGCTGTCTTATGCGTAATAAGCAGAGCATAATCTCATAAGGGCGCCCACATGTGCACATTATAACGGCAGACATCAGTCGTAACGATAAAACGTATTTCGTTGAGAAACAAATTGCGAAGAGAAACGTTCCCGTTATTGCGTAGCACGCAGTCTCAGTTCAAATAAAAAGAAATATAATATTTGGAGTTCGCGATCACTCTTCGATAATTAATTAAACGAAACTCTCAGTATCCTGCATATAATTGTAGCATAATATTATTTGAAGTTATCTCAATATTTTCTTTAATGTCGTTAGCTCACGATAATTGAAAATTCGCTCCCTCTTTCAATAATAGTAGAAGAAAAATATCTCCACATTTCACTTTCTGAAAAATCAAACAATTTTCTTACGTTCTTTTCCAAAATGGAATAAATGAATATTAATGTTGTTTTTGTTAACTTTGCAATGAAGTTTGTATCAACCTTGCACTAAAATAACATGCTGAACTAATTGAAGTTGCAACGGAGCGAATGATGACTTGGATAACAGTTGTATCTTATCTAACAATATATGCACAAATGTATTTTAACGATATAGTAATAAAAAATTTGGTACAATAATAAATAAGAAAAATTGAGAAAAATTTTTCGTAGTTGATTTATAAACCGCATGAGTGAAATGCAAATTTTTGCTTAGCAATTTAATAATCACGTAACAGTTAATGGATACATGTTATTATATTATTGATGTTACTATATTCGTTAATTGTTTTCTAATTGTCTTTTTGCTTTATTAATATGTTTTGTTGTAATATAACGTTTTCACGCAGAAGGAAGAGTTTATTTTAGTTGTCTTTTTTTCAAGTTAGGATAAATTTTTGTCCGAATATAAAAATTCATCTTTTAACGAAACAAATTAGAGCGAATTTCGTAATGATGAGTGGTCTTCTATAAGACAACGACATTTTCGAAGTTGCAAACAGAAGATACGTGAGTCATTTGAAAAACCGGTCGGATCATTTTTTTCGATTGTTCTGGGACAAAGTGCCCTGACCGACTCTCCTTGAAAGAGTTGTTTTCGACCGAGAAATTTTACTCTTATTGGACTGCTTTTTTTTTTGCGAAATCCTGAAGGTCGAAACTCCATCGGTGGTTAATTTATCCAAAATATAGAAATGATAGAAATTGTCAAAGGTTTGTAAAAAAGTTTGAGATTATAAAAAAAATATAAGGAAGGCATAAAAAGAAGATTGTAATAAATTTTCTAATTATAAAAGGCTTGATGTAATACTTTTTTTTATCTACAAGCAGTGTAATTTTTGCATCGACATTACTGTGTTCAAATCAGTTTTTACCGAAATTTTTTTTTGCTCACTTAGTAAAAAAATTGACTTTGTACCATAAAGAAAAAAGTTAAAATGATGGAACGTATCAAAAAAAGCTCGATGTGCTTTCGTTGGAAAGGGTGAAGTGATTGAGTTATTAAACCTCGAAGTTGATTAAAATAGAAAATGGCAGAAGCGAATGCAGCTACAGGAATAACTGGGTTATAGATCAGCGGTAGTAATGTATGTGAAGAGTGCAAATACATGTTTTCACTAACACATAAAGTATTTGCTCGAATTTGTTTCTCTTATCTTTAGCTCTTTTGCATTTGTTTTCGCTATTTTGCTAAATCGGTTTTACATAAATTGTAATTTTTTTAAAAAGTAGTTAACAAATTTATTTTTAATTTTGAATTATTTCGAACAATTAAATAATAATTTATCTTTAAAATCGCATGAAGAATTCAAAACAGTTGTTATTTCGTTTTATTTTTCCAGCTTTTATCTTGTAAAATTTTCTAAATTTTTAATCAATTGTGAGATTTGATAATTTAGCACTTTTACAATTTTGAGATCAGACAATATTACTTTACATTATAAATTATTCTAAAAATTTGTATATGAAAATTTATGTATAGTTTCTCATATAATCCGGATATTCCAATTAGAAAGAGATCGAGGACGAGTGCATATAGCGGAAAGTCAGCTCCTCGTCTCGAAACGTGGACGGCATACGGATGACGGCTTAGTTTAGGCATCATGCTGTGATTTACCCATCGGCACCAATAAACACCGGCTCGCAGCCGTATGTGCGCCTTGTCACGCAATTAACAATCCTGTACAGGGACCCACTCGTTTACATACGCGATCGCATAAGAGTGTGGAGGTATGTGATGCCGAGGACGACCTGGGACCGTTATGAGTCTTTTCGAGACCAGTCTTGTCCCAACAGTCGTCCGCAAACCTCGATGTAGTGAAAATCAACAATTTCTCGATTATCGTCTGAAACCTTCAGAAATATATTTTCTTACAGAATGATATAAGAATACTTTAGACTAGAAGTGTTTGAACTTTTTCCGAGTCATCTCAGAATTGTTCGCGATTAGTCATTTCTTGTTTTACTTGAAATTTTGTCAAGGCCAATGTGATACATCTTTATACATCTCACAACAGTTTAAAATTTTTGAATCCTTTTCTAGTGATTCCTGTTATTGAATTGTAATAAGCTTATGCCAGAGAGTATAGCAGGGAATTGTGTCTTACAAAGTGCGTACAAAGAAGTGATATTTATTTTGCATTGATAAAACAGAAATATTTTGTCATGAAAATTTTATGCAGTTTAATGATGATAATGATTCTCCGGCAGGTAAATGATATTTGCTATTATTATTTATCTTTAATATATTTAATGTTTCATCAGTGAGGTATATAATGTTGTGTGCGCCATTTAATATCATTAACGCATATCAAATTACAAAAAAATTGCTATTTTTGTTTGAAAAATCAGAAACACGAAAATTGTTGTAATTGAAAGGTATTGCATAATTTAAATAAAATTAAAATGTTATATGAAAAACGTAAATTTATATTCCTGATTAAAACTGCAGTAATTTTAATTTTGCGATTCTAAGTTTTAAATATTAACATTAACATTTAACATCATAATAACATGTTCTTGTTTGATATAATTTACCTCTAATGTGAAATATTTCCATATAAATACGCGTTTATATCATAATCATGGCTAATAGTTCGGAGAACTATGTGTATTCGTATGCTTTAGCGGAAATGTTAATTAAAATTCTTTACTGCTTTAGGCTATCGCCGGAATCGTTAGGAAACCGCCGGCTTTTTCAACACCAGTATATTCGAATTCGTATCTCCCCGCTGCTATGCAGGTGAGTCACTTGATTACTAAGTTTGTGTATTGATGAGAGATTCTGAACATTTAGTTCTTTCGCGCATAATTGTGATGCTTTTCAACTCGCACGTAATAATCCGGAAATACTTTATGCGTTTTTTTTTTTGTTAATATCATTCTCAATTTACATTTCATTTAATAATCCTTAATAGCGACATTAATTTCAGTTTTTTATTTATGTGATATAAAAATTTGAATAAATCTTGTAATTTTAATGAATTTTGATTTCTAATTATAGCATAATAAAATTAAGTATTTATTGAAATAAAAGTATACTGAAAGAAAAATGTACTAAACCATTAATGCATAATTGAATAATACTGATATAACATTTATGTCAGTGCTGAATAAAAAATATTAAATCAAATTAATGATTCTTTACACTATTCAAATATAATAAATATATTTTTTTCAATTTAGTTATTAGTATATTTTCTTTCTCAATACATATACAGATTCATATACTTGTGTATACATACTTATTTGCTATTTATTTCAGTAAAATACTTTTTATTTTTGAATTAGGTAATTTTTCACGCAGTTGAGCAACTGAAGCAGCTCCAAGCGGAAGAATTATTGCAGTTAGAATTAGTAGTTTCCTCGTCGACATCGACGACCCAATCGATGAAGGCACAGCAACCGCAATCGACGACACCCGAGGGAATTTCTATAATTTCAACAGCTACGACCACGAAAATGCGTGATAAGAAGACTGAAACTCCCACTATACCAACTTCGACTTTGGCAAGTGAGATATCGAGTCAAGATTCATCCAAAATTTACGATAATTCTACAGAAGTCGCTCAACGCTTGGGAACTTCGACTGCGAGCGTTGTATCTGATCACAAAGAGACACCAGAAGTGAATCAAGAGACAACTGAAACAAATTATGAATTAGCAGCAACGCCAGAAACGAATCATGAATCACCGGAGCCTGTACAGGAGATCCCGGAATCGAATCAGGAAGTCCCAGAGGAGAATGAAGAATCCTCAAATGCTGAACGTTCTTTTGGCAAAGTATCAACCCAAACCCAAATGCAGCAACAATCGATACAGGCTTCTGTTATACAAGTGTTGGATAATCAGAAACCGAAGAAACCTACCATCGACAGCGTCGTGGATGAAATTCACAGAATCGTGAAGACAACCACATCCTTCTTTAGCGACGAATCGGATGACACCGACGAGTCGAAAAGTGTGGAAACATCGATCGAAAAGTCAGAAAAAATTGAGGAAGAAGAAGAAGAAACAAGGTGATATCATTTCTATTATAAAATTATAGTGTTATAATGTATTAAAAATAATCGTATTGTCTAGAGAAAATAGAGAAAATTTTACGAAAAAATAGTTATAATACATATGTATATTTGACATTTACTATTACAGAGATATTTTTATAAATACCTATTATGTCTTTATCTATAAAGATATCTGATTCTTATTTTTAGAAACATGGAACATAACATATACTATATGTAATTAAAAATGTAAAATATTTAAATACGATAGAACGAGATTTGACCAAGGATTTGACATAATTCCATGACTCTAAAAAAATTAAGAAGCACGAAAGTGTATAAATACTAATTTGGTTTTAACAAGCATTAATAAAAGGCGCGTTTAATAAATTTTTCTTTGTTTTTGTTTTGTTTCACCGCAGGTTTTGTTTACTCGGCGAAAGAGTCGCTCAAGTACCGCGTCCAAGTTTGAATCATTATTTAAGGCGTACTAAACTACCGCCTAGACGATCTCTTCAGCAACTGGCGAATCTTTATGACTCCCTCAGTAAAGACGCGCGGAAGCAAGGATTCGCGCGCTTTGCTGGCTACACGGACGAAGTTTTAAAGATTTTGCACTCATCCGCCGAGGGTGGCATCAGACCGCAGCTGAAGCAGCTGCTAGAGAAGGTGGTAGAGAAGAACGAGCTCACTAGAGACGATGCAAAGTTGAAAACGTCGCAAGCATTGCGTGATCTCGACAATCCTGCCAGCGCGCTCAGCATGGATCTAAGACGTCTATTACCGTTGCGTTATACGCTTTAATTCTTTAAGAGAGTTGCAACAATTTTAGAATTTTAAAATTTTAGAATTTTTAGAAACGAAAATACGAATATTACAATAGAAGAAATTAATTTTCTTTATAAAAAGAAAAAGTAATTATATCCTATGGGTTATAAAAAAATATTGAATTTTCTAAATTTTTCAATAAACGTAGACATGCTTAGGAAATGCGTATTTAATATACTTTACTGAAAATCGTTTTATTAACATTGCTTTTAAAATATAATTCTTATCTTATCTAAATAAAAAAAAATATTAGAATATAATTTTTTTTCATTCCATGTTCGATGGTAATAATGATTACGATAACATTTTTTCGTACCACTCGAAAATTATTTTCATTGCTATGTCAATAGTATCACCTAGAAAAGCGAATAAAATTTATTAGACTTATTGAAAAGGTAATGTAAAATAAATTTTTTAATTTGTTTGTTCAAATTTTTGTTTAAATTCGCATTTAATCTTTTCTAATTTTTTTTCTAAATGTTGGTTATCTTAACATTCTAAGCAGAATTATGACATAGTGACATCTAATAAACGATATATCGTTTTTTGACGTCATTTTGCTACTTGAGATTTTACTTATACTATTTTAGACATTTTACTGTATTTAAATAAAGATTGTATTTCAATAATTTTATGAAACAAATGAAACATGATATAACTAATTTCGATTGTCGTCCATAAAAAAGGTTGATGCTAAACAGAACAAGTAATTCAGATGTACTTCAAACGGTTTACAGAGTAATAATAAAAAAAAGACCTTGATTGAACGAGGGTTATTGATGTAATGTTTACGAAAAATTGTTATCAATAAATAAATACCTTTTGTTTCTACTGGATAAAGCTTTGTGGAAAAAGTGAAAGACTGTTCGACTTCATGAAATATTCTGTTATTAATCTCGGTGATGTTGAACTTGGTTCTTTGGATCAATGATTTCTCGAGGGCTTTTAGGAAAAGCTCCCATCTGGGCTTAAAGTAATCTGCCACCACTCCTGACCATTGTTTATTCGCATAGTCTCTGATCTCACCATTTGGACCCCACAGGGTAATTTGATTTCTTGCATTATATTCATAAGATCGTTTTTCCTCCTCGTTGACGGCGATATCTTTCGCCTGAGCTAGCCAGGTGCCGAGTAAAAAATTATTTCCTGATGCCAGAATAGATTCAAGATCGTCGAAAAGTTTTAACAAAGCGTTCGCGGACGATCTATGGAATTATTAATGGGTGTAAAATTGTAAAACCTTTTAAATATACATTGCGAATTCTTATTATATATAACAATAATTATGAGCAGACTACGTGAAATTATTAACTTTGAAAAAGGTTCTTACTTTTATTTTACAATATTAATTATTTTAATTTTAAAAATTGAAATATTTAATATTAAGCGGACACAAAACTGTTTAATAAAATTAATAAAATATTATATGCGTAATATATTTATAAGATATGTTGATATTATATCAATATACTCACTGAAAAGCAGTGATATTCTTTTTCTTATAACAATCTAATACATCCATGTAAATATCGTCGGCTATTAGTTGGAGAGCTTGTCTGGTTATATCAACTACGTCATGTCTGTAGAGAGTATTATTTCCTCTACCATATCTCGCTTTTAGAAACGTGTTCCACATAACATAGAAATCTTTTCGATCATACCAGATCTAATTAAAGAAAATCATTTTACGTTATAATTTAAAATATCAATGAGTAATTTAAATTATGTAATTAGAGTTCAAATAATTTTATTCTCTCAACGTCCCCTAATTTTTGCCAGTTTCCATTTTTTTCTTAATTGTATCTCTCTCGTTAAATTAAATATTAAATTGTTGTATTTATATCTTCTGCTAATATTGGAGGAAATGCAATTAGAAAAATCTACCAATCGTAAACCAGTTGTAATTATTAATGTGTCTACCCGTGATAAAATATTTAAACTCGGTCGTCTGGTAATAACGTAATGTCCCCTGATCTTTTGCGTGCCGTCAAAATTATAAACTGTTCTGCCGAGGTATTGCCAAGCAGCTACCGCATACTCATTCCATGCGCCATATCTTCGAGTAGCATAACTTTCAAACCTGCCGATCAATAATCCTGTTATCGTATTAATTTAATCAAACTTAACCACGCGCAAATCGTGAATTAGAAGCCCACTCTGTCGATATATACATAGATTATCGAGATACAGTAAGACGTTAAGATGACACTTCAATGAAAAACCAGACGTCGCATATAGTATCATATATTGGAATTATACGAGATGTGCATTCTCACCAATTGTCAAGGTCAACAGGCACGTGATGATACGCCATTTCATTCATTAGTTCATAAATTATATAGTTTTGATTGATACCTTCGGGTGTCAGACCGGTTCCCACCATAGTACTGCCATTCATGTTTCTGCCTTCGAACGTGCGCTGAAAAGAAAGTCAATTTATTATTTTGCAATCTAAATTTATTCAGTTTACTATTCTAATAATTAAGTGATAAAACGCTCTTAATGTTTCAAAATCTTCATTGTTATTAAAAAATTCATGAAAATTAAATAAAAATTTAAAATACTAAATTACATATAAAGAATCGAAAACCAAAAAATGACAGTTTGTTTTATTATATTTAATTTAACTATATGTGTATACATTTTTAGCAATGTTCTGCTATTCTCTTTGTCAGTGATGTCAGAAAATGTAGGATTTTCATATACCTGATTAATAATTTGCGCGGAGCCAAACATTCCCAAGGTGCCACCGAAGTTATGCAGCATACACCAAATAAATGGTTGACCATAATAAGATTTGAAACGGCCGTATTGTGGCAATTGTTCTGACTGTAGATCTAACACCAACATTCGTCCCTACATTTGGTATAGCAGTTTAGAGTCATTTTTATGAAAAATGGCGTATAAAAAAATATGATAATATACAAAAGTTTTTTTTTTTTAATCGGAAAAAAAGAGAAATATTTATCTGTTAGAGATTTATATTTAGAGAATTATTTGTATATTAGTTGCGTGTTTGCCAATAAGGTACGAATGATATTTAATATTCCGAACTTACCGTGGGTACGGAGGTCAAAAAAGCTCTCACTCTGGACTTCGTCCAAAATACGTTGTCGTGCACGAACAGCCAAGCTTGCATTAACCTAGAAAAGTCGCATGATGTATCTGACGTGGAAATATGATTATACATATAGAATAGCCTTGAATGTTTCAACCAGACTCTGAGATTTTATAGGTAAAAAGAAAAAACTGTTCAGAATTAAATTTCCTATAAAATCACCACCCTGTGTGTGTGTGTGTGTGTGGTGTGTGTCCATGTGCGTGTAAAATTAATACTTTTGTCGAATTCGAAGAATTGAAGTGTTAAATTGTAGAGTGAAACGAATTATTTAATCTTCTCAATTAACCGACTTACCATATTGCTTTCGAATCGACTGCGTTCATGGCCGAGAAAATCGAATTCCCGACGTTCCTCAAGTAGGTAAGTTCATTGCTGCTGGGTTCATTTTCGTTAAAAGTATCGCAATTATAAATATGATCGGTACCAAACTCATCGATGTACTGCAGCAATGAAATATTCATTTCGCCTATAATCATTTATTTTTATCGAAATTATTCTATTATAACTCACCATTCGAAGGAATTTTTCCCCAATAGTGCGAAATAATGGATCCGTTGGTTCTAACAAATAAGGACTGAAAATAATAATTATATTACACACAAATTGGGGAACTTTATTATTTGAATTAATTTTATTAAATTATAAAATTAATCAATTTCTGGAATATATTTTTAATCTTTAAATGATAGATACAGAAAGAATAGAATATTCCGTATCTATTTTCTTAATACTTCTATTAGTTACACTTGTATTTTGCTCTACAAGGAATTATTTTAAACAATAGCCGGAAGAGAGACAATTGTATGAGATACAACTAGATTATTTTGAATGTACCAGCAATATTTGTCTTCGAATTTATTCCACGGATTGATCTTCGTCATATTAGCGTTTGGAAAAAGTCTGGCAAAAGCTCGCGGCACATGACCAGCAAATGCCGGTAGTACCGGAACGATTCCGAGATCTCTCATTCTCTGTAGAATCTGGTGTTGTAGACGTATAGTGTAATTATGCCAATTTGTTGATAACGGTCCACCAAAGCCACGAATATTGCCCATCCTCGCCCTATATTATTGCATTAAATATATATTCCATTGTATCTTACACGAATAAATTTAAAGAATATAAACACTCGACCAGGGTAAGAAAGCAGGTCCACCCAAATGTTCATCGATCTCTTCTTTTGTTAGATTTAATTCTTGATATAACCTTTGCCAGATCGCCTCTTGTGCACTAAAGGCTAGGGCAAGATTAATCCCATTAAGGGCCATCCAATCGATGTTTTTTTCCCATTGGTGCCACTGCCACCAAGCCGAACTATAACCCACTGTGCATACGTTCTGATAATATCTGAATCTGGTAAAGTATTAGGGAATAACATAAATATATAAACTAGAAGAAGAAAGCCATTTACGGTCAAAGCTGGATCACAGTGCTTATTATAATTGTGTGAATTTTATATACTGCGTATTACAGATTAGATTTATCATTACTTCAACATTACATCGTTAAAATTAAATATATGTCTTTCAACATATTATTAAGATCCAATAAGATGCTATAAGCATCAAAAATTGTTAGATTGCTTGTCAATTTAACTAAGTGATATTACTGCGGTAGTAAGTATGTATGCGTCAATGCTGAAAAACTATCAGCGTCGCGATTTATGGGAGGACTACATACGCAGTATATAAAATTCACACAGTTATAATAAGCACTGTGATCCAGCTTTGACCGTAAATGGCTTTCTTCTTCTAGTTTATTAATGTTTATCAATTATACGGTCCCAAAAAGTTTCTAGTATTTGTAAACATAAACATTGCCATCAAATAATCGGATTATCACAAATATCATATGTCGCGCGCTTTCTCACCTGTCGTTTGATATAATTTTAACTTGGACTTCCGGCAGAGTGTTCGGTAACTCAATTTGTGCACCGTCCCATGATATATGAACATTGCAATAGTTCTTTAAGTAATAATGCAACCCCCATGTAATTGCCACTCCGGAAGTGCCGCGAATTTCGATTTCGCCTAGAGTATTTTTTGTTATCTGCATAAAATAATTCGATGATTATCGTATTACTCTTTTGCAAATAAGTATTAAAAAATCACAAACAAATGTGTACCTAATTATTGCGTATATTCGAGAGTAAATATCGTACCTTAAAAGTATCTTTGCCAATAGGCCCCAAGTCGGTATCCACCATCATAATAAACAATTTAGATATCTCTTTACCCAACAATCTTTCTGCGACATCTTTAGCTGCTTTTGCCTGAACTTCTGATGATGTGCGTGATTTTATATAACCCAAAGTATCCTGAAACGCTGCTCGCATTTTTAGATATCCGGGTAAAAAATTATGATGTATATTCATATATATATAAATGTATAAAATTAATTTGAATACAAGGACTCTTAACATAAAACAAACAATTATGTAAAGGACTAATAAGAGAGAGAGAGAGAGAGAGAGTCAAATAATTTTAATTTATTATAATAATATTAATTATTTAACTCTTATTAGTCCTTTACATAATTGTTGGTTATAAATATATATTAAAATTCATATATAATTATATCTGATTGGGTATATATATATATATGATCATATAGTTACATATAAACATTTTTACTCGGATATTGTGAAATTTTAAGTGTTATTTTATGAACAAGTTTAAATTAATTATTAATGCTTAAAATTTATTTAGTAGCATAATTATTAAATATTTTACAGAGTTTTTTGTATTTATATTTTGTTTAGTTTTTCATTTCAAAAAATGTCTTATACAGAACGCATATCAAGTTCTCTCCATCGCATTTTGCTTCAACAATTATCTATATCAATTTGGACTCAATTAAAAGTTACTAAGAATTCATATATCTCTACTTTTAACTAAGACTATATGAAATATTACTGCGATAAAAAATGTAAAAAAATATTATATTATATTATAATTTTCTAAGTAAGAAATTTACATTCATCATCAAGACAAAGCAATTTATGTTACAAGTAGTCAGTCAAGGACACAAAAATACATAGAATCGAACACACTAATATGTATCTCTTATAACCATTATAATTCAACATTGAAAATAACCTGTTGCGGAATTCTTTAAACCGTTTTTTCGATAATTGTTGTTATTGTTAACTAGCGACAGCCAATGAGAGCCGCGCTTTCTTTTAGGATTATCCTGCTGTCGCTATAATTAACGATAGCGACAATCATCGATAAGAAATTGAGAGTATTTAGCTATTGATCGGAGCCAAAACGTTTGTATTTTATGTTTTGTTAAAAATTAAACGAATTTATTAAGCTTTTGTAGCCCATCTTCTATATCATATTTTGTATATTGTAACGCACACTCTGAAATAAAAATGTAGTATGTTCTACTTACTGTCCGTTTTGCAACATGAACTGGACGATACGAGTAATCCAAATATTATTATAAATAATTGCAACCACGCTGTGATGTCCATCTTGATAAACTTCAGCATGTCGACTGAGTAATCAAAGTGAGGACATAGAAAGAGTCGTGATATAAAAAGACCTTTATAAAAGAATGAGTGTATGTGTGTACATTATCCCTCTCACTTCGGCTATCTTATCTGATAAGGCTTTTGACTACCATAATGGAAATACAAAAGATGTGCTCGTGCACACCGTTTCCTTACAGCCAATAAGAAAGTTACTTCCAACGCAGTCTATATTGGCGGTTAATTCGAATCAAACGTTCTATTACCAGCTATAAAATCGTACTATACTTATTAATATTTATAGTGCATTTATTTTGTGCGTATATAAAGATTAAAAAATAATATTTTATACGTTTTCGTATAAAATTAATTTTTTATTTTCAAAGTTTTTATTTACAAATTTTTATATATATTTTAAAAATGTAAAAGTCTAGTGTTCATTTTTTGAATTTCTACAGTTTTATGGAACTTACAGAAAGATATTGTATTAGTAATATATAATATATATATATATAATACCACACACACACACACATGAAAAGTAACTGATATATTATTAATAAAGGTGCCAGTACAAAGTGAACATACGTAAAGTGTGTGCAACTTTCGACCGATGTTTGAATCGCCTCCGCCTTCCGCTGTCCCCCTCATCTCATTGCCCCGCGCGCAGATCAAATGTCGCTCGAGCATCGTGCGGCATTTGAACCGCGCGCGGTGAGGTGATAGTGTGTACACACACACGCACATAGTTATATATCCATCCGGACGAGACATGGGGCATAATTAGGAACGAACTTCACTTCGGGTAAGTTCGTTCAATCTAACAATTATTCTGCATCTCCTCTCTCCGAACCTCTTTTTGCGAACCGCATCATTCCAGCGAGCTAATCCGCGCAAAAGTCAGGTTGTGTGTGTTATACAATTATTAGAGTAATAGGAATAGGATATTAAAAGTAGTCAAAATGCATTATATTAAAACAAAATTTTATTCTACAAATAATTTTTTACAATTTTTTACATTTTATTTATATTATTTTTCATTTCATTAGATAAAAGTCGATTTTTATAATCTATCGATATATGTATAGAAAGCCGTTATTGTAATACGTCAAATAAAATTATTCAGACTATTTATTATTATAAATTAAAAAAATGTAAAATTGTAAATATTGTAAAATTATTTTATTTTAATTTTTTACATACAATATTTGTAAAACTAAATTAAAAAGACAAAAGATAAAATTGCAAAGGCAAAATTTTATTACAGATTTTTTTATCGTCAAAGAAATTAATTAATTTAAAAAATTAAAAAGTATATATATATATTATTTTAAAAGTAAAAAATATATTATTTATATATAATACTTTTTATTTTTTTAATGTTGTATATTTTAT